GGGGGGGGGGGGGGGGAGGGTGTACATAGCTGGGTACATACAGGGTGGTCGTTTATGTACGTCGACAAGGAGACCTAGAGGGTAGTTCTAGCGCATAGAACCGGGCACGTTCTTCCCCGTGCCCGTAGAGCACGGCTTCTTCTGTCCTTGTATACTGTATATACAATTTTGCCTCTGCAGAAACTACAGTCGCACATGTTTTTTCTATGCAGATAGAATCGGCTTAGAAGTTAGGGGTAGTTAGACACACTTTACTTCAAAAGATTGTCACTCTGCATAGTCGGCCCGTTACTGCATCCGTGCAACTTACTCTTGAGGCTCCTGGACCCATCTGCACTTACACTATGGCACTCTTACAGTCTCTATACCTATAGCTAGTCGAGAGCGAGACAAACATAGCAAATAGTTTAAAGTGCCTGAGGGACTCTTGAACGTAACTTTAGTTAATGGCCGACTCTTATAGGGGTTGTTTTACTTATTGCCCAGTCAGTGGAGATATGCCTAAGAGGGTTGTTACAGTGTCGCTGACATTTATATCCTTCTGGACGAATATATTGTCATGTATATTTTTATAATTATTAAAAATTTATTTTTCAAAACTACCCCTATCGACCACTTCGATATCTCGTGCGCGTATCGATCGTATTTTCTCAGTACTGGCTGTTTGATATATATATATATAGATATATATATATATAGGATTATATTACCAGCGAGAAGTGATCGCCTTGGTCGGTGAGTGAGCACGTTCTGGCCAGCCACCCTTTACTATCACCCTTTCTATGTAACCCCTTTTAACTTAAATGCCCTTGGCCCTAGTTACGTCCCTGGAACCTCCACGACTTCCTTCGCCATGATACACATATTAGTTTATAGAGTGCACATTTCCTTTGGCAAATTTCGAGGCTTACGTTGGATTAAGTTCTTGCCTAGTTAGGGGTGGTCCTTGGAAATGGGTTTCCACGAAGCCCTGAAATATTCGAAAATTCATCCCTGATATCACCGCCCCCTCGTCTATACCTGTGTTATGTATAGTACAAGGGAGCCGAGTAGGGTGGCTTGATACATGTACGAAAACCACTATTTTATAGGGGATGCGACGAAAATCAAATAACCCGTGAAATTTCTACGATCCATGCATAACCCAACCATTACGTAATGCTCTTTGCCTCTACCCAGACACTCTCCCTTACCTTCGGCCCCATCAACCTCATCCACTTCTACCTCGCCAACTTTCTCATGAAGTGGATCGAAATTTTCTAGCCATTTAGGGCAATTAATTCAATAGGAGTAGCTTCATTAGCATCTTCATTATCGAGACACCGCCGCGTTACGATAAGATAACAAAACCAACTCGCATATAATTTACGTACTTGGGAAATTCTTTACCCAATATTCCTAAGAGGTTGCGATCATTCTTATTAGCCATTCCGTAATCTTCCACCCTTTACCACCTTATGAATTTTTTTTAATGCATCACGAACTTCCGCTCGAACGTCTTATTGATTCTCTGTGATTGTCACTTTTTTTGGATGCGATATATATATATATATATAAACAGTGAACATTTATGCGAGCAAGTAGCAGCTATGCGAATTGTACTTGATATCCAAAAAAATGGCAATGACGCGTGATTTTCGCAAAGAACGAGTCGCGTCCTCAATTTTATTTTATGCGTACCAATGGATGTGGATCTTCTCCGAGAAAAAGTCACTCTCTGAGGTCGACACTGGTCCTCTCATATACTACCTCACCCATCAGCCCCTCAAAGCCCCAGAGAGCACGAGGACCCGATCGATCGCAAAACATTCGCTACCCGCGATGCATGGCAAAGGGATCAAACCGGCTGGATATAGGTTGCACAGGGGTAGAGAAGAGAATAACCGAGGCAGATTCTTTTACGGGTTATAAACTTGGACGAAATCTAATCACATCAGAAGAGACAACCGTAAACCGGGACAAACATTGACTCAAACCTGACCCTCTGATCAAAACCTGCGAGATTCAGGCAAATAAAACGCTCGAATAACTTCTATTCGTGGTCACGTGACGTATCTAATCTTCGGGAGCAATTTTTTTATTCTCGTCTCAGCATCGAAAATAGCTTTTACGAGAGTTACGCTGATTTTGTCAATTTTGTTTTTTATAAAAGCGACGCTACTTGGAATAGACGTAAATGAGGGTAGAGGGTGCCGCAATACCAGTGGGGCAAAGGTGACTGAGGGCGAGAGAGGTCGGGCAACAGGCAGCAATAAATAGTCTGATCCTGGAGGAAATCGCTTTAGGAGATCCTGGAGGGTAGCTACCTATTCCGCCAAGTCCTTATCTGTACGCCTGGAGCTCCCGTCCTGATCCCTTGGAACTGCATCGTAAGATCTAAGCACGGTTATGCTTACATACCTCGCAGCATCCAACAGGACGAATAGACGATCTTCTCTCATATCATAACTAATTTCGCTGAAGCTCCTTCGAGCATGATAGTCAACGGTCCTGCCGTCTTCGTGGACTTCCCTGTTTCCGCCTATAACGTTTATCCGTTAAGCCTGACGCACTTTGGTATAAGCTTGAATTTTCCCAGCTTCCGCTGAGTGGACCGAGAATTATCCACGCGCCTGTCTGCCTTTAAATGGGCTTTATCCACTTAGCCGTGTCAGACGTTCAGAGACTGAATGTTTTTACCTTCTAACATTCATTTCTACATTTATTATTTTATTTATTCTTATTTGCTTATCTCCCGATTTTACGTAAGACTCGAACCTGATTCATGACGATGACTCGAGTCTGTTTTACGAAAATTTCTAAAAAGTAAATTTATTCCTGGTTCTCGGGATCGCATAGACTTGAAATTATTGTGCGATAGGTCAGTCGAATAATTGAAACAAAAATTTTAGTTTGAAAAATTAAAAAATCATATTTTTTATTTACTAATTTTTCAATAGCGTTCGATATGGGCCTGTGGTGCAATGATTGGACGGATACGATCGAAAAAAAAAGTTGAGCGACAATTCAGTCTTGGTTGAGCGTAAGTTTCTAAGGCTAGAATGATAACAGAGTTCTCGTGTGAAAGCACCTTAATTTTTCACACGCTAGAAAGGGCGCAGACCTGCCGAGACACTGGAACACAAACCGGCATCAAGCGTGCACGTAGGACCGACATAAGTGTTAAGTCCGACATGCGTAAAACGAAGTAGATAAGCAAGGGGTTGGTAGGTGAAAAATGATTTTCTTTTCCACGGATGGCAGCAGTGGCGAACTCGAGCGGGCAGTGCTTATGGTGGTTGCGTTGGAGGTCAGGCTTGGTATTTTCGACGAGGGTGCGAAAAGTAGATATATATATACATACCTATGTCGTGGGTACCCATTGGATCATGCGACACCCTTTACTTCCAGGTTGGACAATTTTTTTTTTCCCCATTCCGTCAGCCAAAGCCGTGCCTCCTTTTTCTCTTCCCCGCACTTCTTCCAATGTAATGGCAAACGGGTAAAATGATCATTAATCTGGCCCCCATCGGGCCAATCCGACAAACATTAATTATCAGAAAAAGGCTTAGTAAAAACGTTAAGCCTACGCGCACGGGCGATGCTATTAGTCTGCGCCAAAATCCAATATCTCCTTGCAAAAAGCGCGTCGCGACAAAAACCGGCCACCCTCGCGTTACGACAGGAAATCACCCTCTCAGGTATCTCATGGTTCCCGAATATCGTTTCCCTGTATATAATGTTCCAGGATTCCTGGATATCTTTTCAGTATCATATAGATATATATATATATATATGGATAAGTTCTGATATCTATACCCTATTCGTACGTTATAGTCGGTTCCATCAATTTCCCTGATGGTGCCTAACATTTCTTCACTCCTCTCTTCTCCATTTTCCGGTACTTCTAGGGTCCCTAGTTGAGAGTCTCTTTGAACGAAAAGTGGATGTCGATGGTGACGGGGTTGAAGTGGAGAAACGAAGGAGGGGGGCGGGGGAGAGAGAGAGAGGGAGGGAGAGTCCCACTTTAGTCCACCGAAGCGTTGCGTTATCGCGCGCGTTACGGCGTCGCGCCTTTGTACCGCCCTTAATTACCTGCCTTGTCTTCGACGCTCGTGCAATCAACTTGTTACTTTCTGGGCCTCCGGCAGTTTCCCTGGAGTAATGGCTGAAGGAAAACACAGCAGCCTTCATACGCTGCTAAGTAATTAGATAACAGACGATCAAGTTCCCAAGTAAATAGTTATACGAAATTATTTAACTACGAATTGGTGTGAAAGATTGCAAAATCGAATGACTTTTTTTCAATATCAAATTTATTTTTAGTATCCGTAAGAAAAGTGATACAAATATTGAAGAGTCGAAGAGAAACGATCAAATATATATATATATATATATATGTATAGATATTTTATGGAAGTAGATGATGGATGAAGGCGAAAGAAATGAGAATGGCGGTACCTACGTGTACGATGGGAATCGGGAGAAGAAGAGAACGAGACTATATAGGGTGGAGAGAGTATTTTCTAAAGGCCGAATCTTTATTAGTTCCGGAGTTGTCGAAGGGAAGAAAGCAGCGGCGGGTTCCTTCTGTCGTTGCTGGTGAAGCTGATGGGACAAGAGTGTGGCTGTAAGTGCAGGGAGGACGGAGGGAATCGAATTGAGTGGCGCAGAGAGTGCGAGAGAGCGCAAGAGTCTGTAATTTTATTTTCATCTTGTCGCGCGTCTCGCAGCATCCGCGATATACGTATCGCGATCGGTGTTCGCTTTAGACGCATCTCCGTCTTGATAACAATAATGTCGTTACTCTCCCTGTTCCAGGCCCTATATCCATTCCCGATCCTCCCCATCTGCAATCTAAGCTATGTCGCCAGGGATTAGTGCGAATCGAAGTCCTTCCTCCATCCGCAGCCTCTTCCTTTCCTAAATTTCTTCACCTTAGCTTCTTTCTTCTCCCCTCCTTAAATTCCTTCCAGCTTTTGCTTCTCTTCTCTTTCCCTCTGCCGCGAAGTAGCTATTTCCCTGTAGCAGTCAGCCATCCTCGACTAGCAGCCACCTTCGATTCACTTCCTCCGCAATTTCGCCTCTCCTTTCCATCCAGGTTACAGGTATCTTCCCGGATAAAGTTCTTTGCGCAAATTATTGATCTCATTTACTGAAATCTTATTGGCGACTTATATACATGGAACTGATACCAATCCTGATTCACCCTTGTGCTACAGTTTTTTATTTTTCCTCGCAAGTGCCCCTTATCGATATCCGCTCACCCTTCTGAAATCTACGCGGATAATTAGCACGGTAGAATTTTACATCCCTTGAAGTGAATCGCTAATTTCCCTATTACAACGAAGCTCGCGGTATCGTATATGCACATTAAGTAATCGCTGCTGCCTTCAGACCGCAAACGAGATGACTTCTCGTCCTTTGATCGTAACTTGAGTATCCTCTTCGCCTGTTCCATCTGGTGGTTATTCAGTGAAATTCATTAGCGTTTACGGAGGCGTCGGTTACTACTGTCCCTTAGCGTCGCGACGACTCTCCCGTCGATTGTTTACCAGTTTTGCTTACTTCGAGCCGCTCCACTTTCAAATGATCACTCATTCGCTGGGCTTTTATTTCACCAATAACGAAAGCTCCCATATATGGTCCAGCGTGGACCATGTGTGTGACGTCCGTTATGCTCACGATGTATGTGCTATTACTTATACTTACCTAACCTAACCTAACCGTTCTAAGCTGTCGCTTACATGGAAGCCGTCCTTATTGTCTGGCTGCGCTATACTTGCCCCTCCTATTGCAGAATAACTGTCTTCTACTGCGTCCTCGCGTGCGTCTCTATTTTTTACTCCGCATGTATCGCAACCATATGGAAAGACAAATTAGTACTCGTTATACAAATCGTGATTTACGATCCCAAGTGTGAGGGTTATCTCACAAAATACTATACACTCAGCTTAAAGAGTAAGAATAACTTTTTTTTTATTAGGAAAAAAAAAACAGTAATGGCCAGATTGAAGTTCTAATGCATCTGCCCTCCTACTCGCTCGTCTTTCGTTATCCCTCCGGGACGCCTAGCTGCCTAGCACAGTGTATTTAGGATGTACTAAGGGAGGATATAAACGGTCCTAGCATTATAACTTGTTGATTAGTATATATATAACACAGTGCCAATAATAATAATAGTGATACGAAGAAATTCACATGTCAATTATAAAGTTGCGAAGTAACGCTGAAAAGCCCTACGCGAGGGAGCTTCCCTAATTTCATTCGGCAAGGAATTCCAGAACAGGGGTGCGGATATTGTAAAAAAGTATCTACAGAATTCAGTGCGATGTCGTGAATTTACCAGACCATCCAGTCTCCGACGCGTAGTGTAACATAAGTGGGAATTCCCGTCTCTAGAACTTTGCACATACACTGGCGTAGCTAGTAGATATTTTTGACTGTCCTTGAGCCACCCAAGTTTAGCATAATGTGAGAGGTGCTCATCTTTCTTAAAAACCGAAATGATGCGCACGCATGAATTTAACCTAACCTGTAACCGAGAGAAAGAGAGAGAGAAACGTCGTGATCGTTTCTCGTATCTGATTGGTTCCTCACGTGACTTACATGTCTCTACGAGACAAACTAGCTCAAGTTTCACTGTGCGCCGATCTTTAGCTTTAGAATAAAAGTAATCGTAAATTCTAGAGACTCGTCACTACCGAATTCGGAGTACCATAGAACAGGATCATCATAAGTCGGTAATCGGCTTAGCATCCGAGAGACGCCGCATAAAAGCAACGATCGTTCCTATAAATAGCACTGTCAGAACAACGAAGGCAAGAGTGAGTACTGAAAAAAAAAAATAAAAAATTTATCAAATATGTCAATCCATAACACGATATTTAACTCACCAACTTTATTCCTCTTCCGAAACGATCCTCTAACCGGATCTTGCTGGACGAATACAATATTGCGTGTTTGGCTTTGCAATGGTGGTAAAAGAGAATCCGTTAAAGAAGGTCTTTGATAAAAAGGTGGTTCCGCGGCTTGTTGGTAATACGGGCCGCTTTGGTTGAATGTCGATAGCGGCACCGCATGCTGCGGAGGCGAAGAAGGTGCAGACGTTTTTGTCCTTGGATCCATTGCTGATGTACGTCCTTTATACAGTATATCCAGTAATCAAACACGTGTTTGTACACTAAATTAATTCCTGATGGCACTGATCGACGCTACTGTGAACACGTACGTAAATAGCTAAATGGAGGTTAGGTCGTCAAAGATGTCAGTATAGACGTATAGGTTGAATTAATTGATAATATACATAAAATACAACCATTGCCATGGCATAAGGATGCGTTTACATGGGACGCGACTAAGTAGGAGCAAATGGGCGTGCATTCGATCGTATGAATTAAACACGTCTAGACAAGTCCAGTAGCTATGCCGAAAGTGATTCAGTCGTTCACAGTTACGCGTACAATTTTAACACAGTTCTTGACACCCACATACAAATATCGAAGGTCTTTACCAGTTGAGAATGGACAACCAACTGCGATTCCACTGACGAACGATAAACGGTCGTACGACTAGACGTCAAATGCGAGCGACCACGTTTCGTCCGTCCTCGACGAGGCTTGACTGTCGAGCGAACTCGCACGAGGATTAGCACCGACGTTGGAATTTATTATTAGCGCCTTTCGGAAGCGAACTGAACTAAACATAAGTCCAAATGCGTGCTCCGGGACTCTATTTCCGCAACTCCTAGACACTGTTCAGTGTAACATTCGCGGTCGAGCGATCGTCGCGCTCCCACAACATACGGTGACCCACTCGATGTGGAAACCGAAAGCTACGCGAATGTTTCGTGCGTAGTGCTGTGTGATTTCGAGAATAGGTACTCGCTCGAAATCATTCGGCACTCTTTGCTCACTAAGAATTTTGGTTCCTGCTAATCCCGGCAGCAGGTTTGCCAGTTCGCAGAAAGAAAGATTTCTGAAGAAGATAGGGAATACAAAAAATAAACGCACCTGAGTCCGCAGAGTGTGTCGCGTCTTCTGGTCTGATTTGCACTGAACTTGAGCAGCTAGCGTGACGACGTAAGGAGTGCGTTCCTTCTCCAACAGCGAACAGCCCCGCAAGGATGTCAGAGCGGAATAAGTAAATTTCTCAAATTTTTACATTGTATATGTATACACATATATATTACGCAGCCATCACACAGATATACGAGGTATAGCCACTAGCGATTTTGCGCATTTAGACAGTGACGTCACCGGACTCTGTCTTCTCCGATTGGTTGACCTTACGTATGTTGAGCTATTACGCCGCCACGTCAGTTCCATATTAAGATGCCATTTACTTACGAACTTATACGTAAATAAGTCGTCTCAAAATGAAACTGATGTCACTTTCAGCATAACGTCATTCGACTCTGTCTGATCTTCATCGATATACGATCGCTAGTGGCTATACCTCGTTTACTTGAATTATGACGCAGCCCTATGCATCTGTACATGTTTTGTTTGCATGGCTAACTGATATATATTGTAACATGGCGTCCGCGCGATGGCCCGTTACATAAGAAGGATAGGGGCGCGGAGACCGTGTCGCCGGTGAAAGCCGCCGAGAGATTGTCTACGACGACGGAGGATCTGGGCGAGGAGAAGCCGGGGAGAGAAACCGGCAGCGCCGAGTTCGAAGATCGGGCGAACTCGGGTAAGTTCGGCGCCGCCCGGACACTGGCGGAATGCGAGCGCCGAAATGATAGGACCGAGGCGAGAGCGATCGCAGGAGTTCGAGCGAACTCGGAATTCTTCGGGAGTCCTCGGGCAGGGGGCCGAAAGGGGGCCCACTTCGTTGTGAACTGTCCAACATGAATCTGCTGCTAGTATTATCGCGAGTTTTTGGCTTTTGATATTTTGGGGTTTTGACGTCTTGGCTTTCCCCGGACTGCGATTCGGAATGGACTGTGGTAAGGACCTAGGGGAATTAAGAGAGAAAGAAGCCGCAGGAAAAGAGCCGACCGTCACCACCCGAGCGACAAGGAAGGTTCGGGGCACCGGCAGAATTGGTAATTGCAGTTCAGACTATCGACCCCAGGGCCATGTAGTGCACTGGCCGGGGATGAAGCGCATCCACCGGTGCATCAAGGCACGAAAAGTGGGGGGCAGCGGGCCCCGCCACGTGCCCTTGCGATTGCACGTTCGAGCCGTCCACCGTCAACAGAGACGACATCCGCGACCGGTTAATGGTTAGAATTGTATAGAGCCACGCTCGTATACATCACTGTACTCGTTTACCTAGATAGAATAAATTGCCGTTGTTGGAATTATATCCCACTGTGTTACTCATTTCGGAAATGCCGGCTGCGGAAATACCGGACCCGACGAGTCGGGCTGGTGCAAGGATACACCTGGTACCCAAGGGATCCGCGAAGCGGAGTGTCGGGGTCATCGGAGTGACGTAGATAGGAAATGCGTTACAATATGGCGCCCGAGGTGGGTCCTCCGATCGAGGCCCAGGTACCAACTTGGCGATGAGGCTGTGGGGCTAACCAGCACGGCCTCTTCGGAGTGTGTGGATAAAGCATAAAAATGGCCGTTGGGTAGGCAGATAGCGTCGAGTTTGAGGCTTCCCTCCGTATCTGGGTCTCCTCCCTACTGACGATCGCCGCAGCTGGAGGGCACCGACTGGAGCATCGCCTGGGCCTGACGTCACCTGACGTCATAAGAGGGCACTAGCGAGGTAGGGGCGGGTAGAGCTAAGCAGATTCCGAGCAGCAGGGATTGCGCTCGATGGGATGCTTCGCACCCGCATCTCGCATTTAAGGGCGGGGGACCTGTAACGTAGCGGTACAGACCTGGAGGGGATGCCCACCTAGGAATGACCGAAAAATAAATAAATAGGACTTATTAGGTCGGACAGTGGTTTCGGTGTCACAGTGCCCGACTTGGCAGCCCGCAGGTATCGGGTTCGATTCCCGATCAGAACTCCTAATTTTTCGGAAATTCGTAGCTCACTAGCACTTCCTGGTGGCCCTGTGGATAAATTAATTATAGCGTATTAATTATACATATTATATACTGTGACGTTATTTCTTCTCCGATAATATTATTATTTGAGTTCATGATAGACGGTGAAACTTTTTGGTATATCATTTCATCCCGAAAATGAATGATTTGTACAGTTGCACCAGAGCTGATGATCGCAGAGGTGACCAGTTGATAACTCGACGCGAAAACAGGCCACCAGGAGCAATAGGCCATCTGCAAGTTCAGCAACAAAACGATGCAATCATGTTATAGCTACCAGGCTGATTTTTTTCAGTGAAAATGTATTTAATAATATGTTATTCACAACCATTACCAGACCTTTAGGTGCGCTCAATCTGTGTTTCCCTGGAAACGACTAGGGCGAAGGGGTCAGGATTCTATAAGGAAAGAGAGAGACAGCAACAGGATACACATACATATTATTCTTAAAACCGGAATCTTATCGGTAACAAGTCACTGGGACGAAATCGCGAATCACCGGAATCGATAGATGCAATAAACACGAGTTTGGCGAATTTCAAAGTCAATCGGTGTCTGGTATGAAAAATTGAACAAGAATAGAGCGAATCTGCAGGTTACGTCAATAGAGAAAGTTGTATCGAATAAGAGCAATATTCACGTATCGTAATCAGAACGCGACAGCTATCATACCCAAGATACATTATTAATATAAAATATATATTTTTTTCGAAAGCTTCAATGTATGTCTGTGACTTATCTCGATGTCTCCATCTACCTGCGAAATCAGTGAGGCCTAAGCACCTCAGGAATTCGCAAGCTCCTATATGGGTTTCAAGGTCAAGCTCATTCGCACGCCTGCGCCGGCTTTCTGGTACCCAGAGTGTTGTTGGTTAAGTTCGATGACGTGATGGAGTTGAACGTGCAGGATACAAGTGTCTACGATGAGAAATCGATGGGCGTAGTCGCGCGCAAGGGAATCTGGGATCCGAACGGTCGTGGAAAGTTTTGTGAATTTGGATCGTTTGCATTATAAAAAAAAAGTTACGTTAAAAATACAGCTTACGCGGATAGGTGACTCGCGCTATCGACGGACTGTCTGATGTTTCCTAGTAAAATTTGTCACATTATATTTTACGTATTTTACTTCGCCTAGATCAACGACACGCTTTGTTCCTTCGTAATTACCTTGCGTGACGTTGGACTGACTTTATTTTAAGAATTTGTATTTATTTCTCCGTGGGGAACGTTTTGTTTGTTCTTTCGTTTATTAAACGGATCCGAGAGGATTCGACACAATTTCTATTGAGCCGGGGCCCGAGAGAGAGCCAACTACGGGCCTGCCGGAGCACTGTCGAGGATAGGTGACGTCTAGACCGGAGCATAACCTGGCGGCTGAACTACGCGAAGCAAGTGACGAGCGTCTTCAGGATCACAGGGCATGCAGGGGTCGCATAGGCGGCGTGAAGCCGAATATCGAGGGTGTAGAGGTAGATGTGATTCCCGCCTGCCGGAAACGGCACTGCAGCCATTTCCTTCTTCCTATTTTTCCGGTTCTGTATCTAATCGTTCAGTCCACGCCTTCTCATCATCTCGCTAGCACATGGGTGCGTGAGTCATTATCGTACTGTTTGTTATCGTACTGTATGTTGCGTCGTTGCAGCGGGAATATTATTGTATAATGTCGTTCGGGTAATATCCCAGTGCGTTCTGTACCATCTCGATTTGTTTTCCGTACTTATCATTTGTATTTAACTATATTGTTCTTATATTTTTCTATTTAAAATAAATCGGATCCGTCCCTGGATTTTGGTTCTGATAGTTCATCGTGGTATAAAATAATTTCAGTAGTTTTTAGAGTGAACCTCCTTAGTTTTCAGATTTTTTTATTATTTTTATTATTGTCTCCCAAACTCAGGACCCCACCGCATAAGAGCTGGCCAGGGTGTCCTTAGGAGACAGTGGCATAACCCTTGTTATACCTGGTGCCCAGTTAATGGAGTATTTTATTAATTATTTTTCGCAGTGCCATTTATTTGTGCGTCATCGTAAAAAGTGCCGTCATTCGTAATTACCTTGCGTGACGTTGGACTGACTTTATTTTAAGAATTTGTATTTATTTCTCCGTGGGGAACGTTTTGTTTGTTCTTTCGTTTATTAAACGGATCCGAGAGGATTCGACACAATTTCTATTGAGCCGGGGCCCGAGAGAGAGCCAACTACGGGCCTGCCGGAGCACTGTCGAGGATAGGTGACGTCTAGACCGGAGCATAACCTGGCGGCTGAACTACGCGAAGCAAGTGACGAGCGTCTTCAGGATCACAGGGCATGCAGGGGTCGCATAGGCGGCGTGAAGCCGAATATCGAGGGTGTAGAGGTAGATGTGATTCCCGCCTGCCGGAAACGGCACTGCAGCCATTTCCTTCTTCCTATTTTTCCGGTTCTGTATCTAATCGTTCAGTCCACGCCTTCTCATCATCTCGCTAGCACATGGGTGCGTGAGTCATTATCGTACTGTTTGTTATCGTACTGTATGTTGCGTCGTTGCAGCGGGAATATTATTGTATAATGTCGTTCGGGTAATATCCCAGTGCGTTCTGTACCATCTCGATTTGTTTTCCGTACTTATCATTTGTATTTAACTATATTGTTCTTATATTTTTCTATTTAAAATAAATCGGATCCGTCCCTGGATTTTGGTTCTGATAGTTCATCGTGGTATAAAATAATTTCAGTAGTTTTTAGAGTGAACCTCCTTAGTTTTCAGATTTTTTTATTATTTTTATTATTGTCTCCCAAACTCAGGACCCCACCGCATAAGAGCTGGCCAGGGTGTCCTTAGGAGACAGTGGCATAACCCTTGTTATACCTGGTGCCCAGTTAATGGAGTATTTTATTAATTATTTTTCGCAGTGCCATTTATTTGTGCGTCATCGTAAAAAGTGCCGTCACAATATACATGTGTATACATATTTTATGGAAGTAGATGATGGATGAAGGCGAAAGAAATGAGAATGGCGGTACCTACGTGTACGATGGGAATCGGGAGAAGAAGAGAACGAGACTATATAGGGTGGAGAGAGTATTTTCTAAAGGCCGAATCTTTATTAGTTCCGGAGTTGTCGAAGGGAAGAAAGCAGCGGCGGGTTCCTTCTGTCGTTGCTGGTGAAGCTGATGGGACAAGAGTGTGGCTGTAAGTGCAGGGAGGACGGAGGGAATCGAATTGAGTGGCGCAGAGAGTGCGAGAGAGCGCAAGAGTCTGTAATTTTATTTTCATCTTGTCGCGCGTCTCGCAGCATCCGCGATATACGTATCGCGATCGGTGTTCGCTTTAGACGCATCTCCGTCTTGATAACAATAATGTCGTTACTCTCCCTGTTCCAGGCCCTATATCCATTCCCGATCCTCCCCATCTGCAATCTAAGCTATGTCGCCAGGGATTAGTGCGAATCGAAGTCCTTCCTCCATCCGCAGCCTCTTCCTTTCCTAAATTTCTTCACCTTAGCTTCTTTCTTCTCCCCTCCTTAAATTCCTTCCAGCTTTTGCTTCTCTTCTCTTTCCCTCTGCCGCGAAGTAGCTATTTCCCTGTAGCAGTCAGCCATCCTCGACTAGCAGCCACCTTCGATTCACTTCCTCCGCAATTTCGCCTCTCCTTTCCATCCAGGTTACAGGTATCTTCCCGGATAAAGTTCTTTGCGCAAATTATTGATCTCATTTACTTAAATCTTATTGGCGACTTATATACCTGGAACTGATACCAATCCTGATTCACCCTTGTGCTACAGTTTTTTATTTTTCCTCGCAAGTGCCCCTTATCGATATCCGCTCACCCTTCTGAAATC